AAAGACTCCTTTTATAAAACAGGCACTTCAAATTAAATAAAAAAATTCCCTGTTCCCTATTAGGCAATACAAGAGCATTTTTCAGAATGACAGAAACAGAGAGCAGCACCAAAATTAAGATGAGAAAGCTCAGGAAATTCAGACTATCTGTGTAGAAGTTTTACCCAGCTCTACTAGCCTTAAATAATATTAGCACCTGGAAAATCCGAAGGCTACAACAGACATTAAATATTAAATTAAAATTAAAATAAAATTAAAAATTAGAACACATAGCATGGAAAAATTAGGTATAAATTTGTTCACTCTCCAATTCTACATTTAGATCTGCCAGAGAGGTGCTCTTACCTAGGTGTCTTTCTACCACGTACCTTGCAGTAAGATACAATGAATGAGACTCAAAATACAGCTATACTCTAAGTCTCCTGTTTGGTAAAAGCTGAATATAGACATTTCTGAAACAAGCATTGTGTCAGGCCAGACTAACTTGTACCATCAAATGACAGCACTGCTCTTGGGCTTTTTTGACATCTTTACTGCAAGGCTCACAGTCACAGATTCAGCTGTGTCAAAGAGCATGACCAGTAAGCTCTCACAGGGTGGGAAAAGGGATAAATAGCACACTAACCTTCAGCTAAAACAAAATACTACTAACCCAATTTGCATTTGGTGATGATTATCTGCATTCAGAAGACTCAGGAACAAGAGTTTGAGCTCAAATGTTCCCTTTAACACACTCCAGAAAAATTCTTCACTTTCCCCTTTTCCTCAGTACAAGAAAAACATTCTCTTGCAAACTGCTTTTATATGCTGAGGTGAAATACACTGTAAAATGCATGGCTCAACTGCATTCCCCATGGTTCTGTAAATGATATCCTACTAACATCAGAACATCCACAGAGTTTGGAAATGCTGGCACAGTCTGCACACTTTGAGCTGACGAGCATGTGGCTCCCATCCTTAAAGCCTTGATGGTAACTACAGTGGAAACAAGCTACAACCTGCTCCACGTTAGTTAGGTGTCTCTGGAGAGGCTCTTCACTCAGCATCCTGACCTGAACAGAGTCATCTCTGGCTCTCCTTTAACACAGAGCTTTGTGTTATTTTTTTCATTCATTTTTAACACAGAGCATTCGTAACACAGAGCAAAACTTCAAGCTTTTGGTATGTCAGGGGTCTCTGAACAGCACTTTCCCAATTCCTAAATAGAGAGCACTAGCTTTGTTTTCAGGAGAAATTTTAAAAAATAAACTTGTCAAATCACTCTTGTATTGTATTATCTTCAGCCTACCAAAAGAAGCCAGGTAGTAAAATCCTTTTAGAAGGCTGAAGTATAATTTCACAAGTGGTTGTATGACAAACAGAACAAATAATTCTAACATTCCTGTCCTAAAGCAAAACTGGCAAATTAAGCCATAATGACCAGTTATACAACAATCTCCAAAACAGGGCTTTCCAATTTTAATTATTTTGGTGCAATGCCATTTCATAAAGAAGTTGAGTCCAAAATAAAAGAGGCAGGCCACATTTTATTTTGATCCAAAGTAACGTTTCATCACAGAAGAGGCAGTGCTGAACACAATAGATATTAAAAAGGAAATTATGAAACTGATATCCCCAATATGACATCCTGAACCCAATACTAGCTCTGAAAGCAGAAGCTTCAAGTCAAGACAAGGAGAAAGAAGGGTATTTCTATCCAACAGCTGCTATTTTGTGTTTTCACTTACCCTTGCCCTAGAGTGTTTCAGTTCAATCCTCCATTTTTATTTTTTTTTTACTTCTTCCAGCTCATTCTCCTCCATGCTGCCTCACATGACCCGTCACTCTCCTTCACTCTTAGCTGTATTCACTTATCTCTTGTGAGCTCCCCGTGTGTTTGGGATTCTGCTGAGACCTGACTAATCAGCACCATGGGAAAGGCTCTCTCTAGCATAATCCCACTAAGTGAGCTACCTGGAAAATAAAAAAAAAAAAATCACAGCCAAAGGAATCCAGAGAAGAAATTCCATCTTGGGAAAAGTGGTACCTTAGTGCCTGCATAACATGAAAACAGCTAACAGTACTGGCTACTCCAGCAAAAAACATGGCAGAAGATTATCATACTGCACTAAACTCTAGCAAGGATCCTGGTCTCAGACTCGTAGCACTACTACAACATGCAGTAAACTGATGTATCCAGTGCTGCATCATCCATCCTCTGCTTTCCAGTAACTCCTCATGGCAAACTTACTACCCAGACACTGAGATACAACTATCTCAATACTGTAAAGCATTACATAGCATGGGGAAGAAGAAAAGTGATCCTACAGGTTTCTGTACCAGAAGGCCAGTTCATACTAAAAAATGAACAGCCTCAGGAAAGAAACTTAATGCACCTAATCGATTTGAATTTCAGAACACAAAGCTGGAAAGCAAAGTTTGATACTACATTGCTGAGCTCCTCCTGCAGGGATTCTCTCCTCTAAACTTTCTGAATTAACTTATGGGAAAGTAACAATAGAAGATTTAAAATTCCTTTTTAAATATTCCCTTTAAAATTCCAAAGGTGAAAACATGAGACAGATTTAAGGTTAAAAAAGGAGCAGCAATTCCGATGCAAAAAAAAACCTGCTAATTTTGTCTTCACTCTTGTTTTTACAATTTCACATATATATAGCAATGATGTAAAAGTGCCTGAGTGGTGAGGTAAATTTAATTTTTAGTTGAGGGCTCACAAAATCTAGCTCAGGTCCTGCAAAGAGTAATCTTCTCCACCTAAACCATTACAGCATCCTACTGTTAATGAAAATTCTACTGAGGGTCTTGTGGCATTACACAGGGTTGCCAGGAGCAGATAATGACAGTTCATGACTTATTCTACCCAACACCCAAAGAAGGACAGAGGCAAAAAAATACCTAAAAGAGCCTGCTGGCTCTTGGCAACATGTTAATACTGCCAGGCTTACTGATGTTTGCCATCGGCAATAAAAAGTCATTCTCCCAGCTGTCTGTAAATTAAAGTGTGAGTAGAAAATTTAAAAATATTTGAATTTATTCAACTTTTCTAACTATTTCTGAGTACCTTACTTGGTTAAATTTTCTTATACATAAAAGGGCCAAATAAGGCAGAAAGACCACCCAGTTGGGTTAAAAAGTGCCACATGTACAACATCTACTCAATAGTCTGGTAGAAAAAAAAAAGTGAAGACCATGAATGAGAATTCTTCCAGTGACCCTCATAACACAGGCAAAAATCACAACAATATTGATAGATATAGATAGTCCACAGGGACTAAAGTTCCCAACTTTGCCCACAGTCAATACCTGGATCAAGTTCAGACCCAAGTGGAATGCTGCATGTGTGAAAGTGCAGGCTCTGGGCTGCCCTCTGCACAAACCAGGGCAGTTGCACTTTGCTCAGCATTACAGTGCCCAGTGAACAAAGTTCAAGCAGCTAGCTGCAAACTTCAGATGCTGTTTACTTTCACTTCCTTGCAGAGTAAAGGAACATCCCAGTTTAATCAGGAAATATTCAGCAGACAGCTTTTTGATATTTTTGGACTCAACTCTTTTAATTCTAAGATATGCAAAAAGCGCTCATGAGCCTGAAAATGTATTTGCTGCCATTGTGTGGCACTTGGCTAGGAACTCAAAGTAGGAAGACTAACATTTTATGGAAACCAATCTGAACAAAGAGAAAGACACAGGCTAGAGGATGAAGATGACAATGTCATCAAGAAAACTGAATCTTTGTAAGGCCTCATTTTTGTAGCTGGAACATTTTACATATTCATCTTTCCTATTACAGGATTCCATATCCCTCTAATGAAGGACTTACAAGAAAGTACAGTGAAAACAGGAAAGCAAAGTTGTTTTCTACAACAAGGTCAAGTAACCAAGTGCTTGAGCAAGCACTGTTTAAAAAACATCAAGTAACCAAAAAGATCCAGAGAGATTTTCTTTCTTTTTGAGTGAAAACCTTAGCTACACACAAGATTTTAAAATAAACACTAGCAGCTGACAATAAAACCCAAAATGTAATAGCACCCCACAGTTCCTCTTACCACTTCAGAGTTAAGCCTTTTCCAGAAATAAAGACTCAGATAGGTCAGCAAACGTAAGCTATACATTCTAACACACCACACACACAGTATGTGATAAATACCTCACCTTTGTCACACCCAGGAAATATCCATCACAGAATTACTCCACAGAGAAGTTGCTGAGCTTCAATAGTTATGGCAAAGTGAGGACAAGGTAAAAGTAGGCAAAGCTATAAACAGCCATGCTGAGATGTGGGGAACATGTGGCAAACATACGCACAAGACAGCCCAAGAAAAAGCTTTGTGTATGAAAAGAAGGAAAAAAGTCAGTAACGTTCCTTATGTTTGCAGGCTTTGTGGCTGCTCTTTTGTGTAGTCCTTCCTCCCAGCCTTCCATTATCACTAAGTTAAAGGCCAGCTCATGACTAACCAGCTGCACCTGTAACTCTGCACAGGTGTGCACACAGAGAAACCTTTTGTTCACAGCTGCCTCTCCTCTACTGAATATGTAAAAATCATTTTAACAATTTCAGCAATTTGTTCCCATTGGAGTGGCACACAGCACTTTCATCCTTATGGAAAAATAGAGTGGTTGTTTCCAAGTTTACCAATTTGTACTGAAACAAAATCCACCACCTTGAAAATAAAATACTCACACACGTGCACTGATGATCTGTCTAAGTCTAGGTTATTTCCTGGGCTTTTGAAATACATCATCCCACTCTTGCTGTCTCACCTGGCTTCAAATGCAGTCTATGCACTGTCATTCTGAACCACAAGAATTGGAATGGCTGCCTCATATGGAGAGCATCAGTGATGTCATCAGTCTGAACAGTACTCAAATCCCTCTCCTAGTAAAGAAAAACATAGGCACTTGCCCAATTGCCCAACCCTGCCTGGCAAGCAAGGTCCCCAGTACTTGTCATACAGCTGGAATGACTGGGCAAGAAGAGGCATAAAATAGGCCAGCATTTCTTCTTTTCATTGCTTGATCATATGAGTCTCTTCATCAGCATCATAGAACTCCTCATCTTCACTTCCACTCCCTGTAGAGCTGTCTTTGTCTCCAGACTAGAAGCAAAAAGGAAGTTGTTCATTACACTGAAGCCACTAAATCAATCTCAACATATATGAGCATGAACCATTACACTTCTATGGAATGCTGGTAGAGAAAAAGTAAGAAAGCACAGGTCAAACCACTGTATTGAAACTTTGTAGAAGACATTATGTGAATTCAGATTTAAATCCTTGATTCTTTAAAGTATCTTTAAAAGACATGGGGTTGTAGTTAGGAGGGACTTTCTCTGCTCCACTGGTACACTAGAGAATAAACACAGGAGTGACTGGCTAGAGTGGCTCTGAACTGGTAATCTACTAAACTTGCTTAAATTTAGTCTGAGGTGGAGTCTTTGTGCAGGGCTACTGGAAACACAGTAGCTCACCATAGCTCAGAACACAAATATTACTTGTTTAGGCAAAGCTTCTCCATCCAGAATTAGTACTTTTCCTTAGGTAGCACAGACATTTTACTGTGCAAATTGAATTTAAAAGACCCCCCTGCAATACTAAATGAAAGTGTTAGGGAATAGGGAAAAAACATTACCATGCTGTATGCTCATAAGGCAAAATCCCTGTTATAGGCATACCTACTCCAGTCAGAGTACTTTCCACAACATAATTTATACCACATACCCAAAATAAAGTCAGCTATTACAGCTAATTTTTTATTTGGCCAGTGTAGTATTTTTCCAGAGAACTGACACAAATTATTTCAGTTAAAAAGACTCTCCTGCTAGTATAAACTCTATCTAGTTTAATTATTTAGGATTTTTTCCCCAGTATGCTTACATCCATCCTCTTTAAAGACCTCTGCCTGCCTAGTCATCTGCTAAGAACAGTGAGAGAGAGGGTGAAAAATAGAGAAATGGAAATAGTGCTCCTGACTGACAGTACAATGCAAGCAAAATATGTAGCTTTAGATCTCTCTTCAGAGGAGCTTTGCTACAGCAATGTGTGTTAACTGCAAAGAAATTTCAAGCAGTTTGAGCACTACGACCTGTCAGAAGATGTAAAGGGAATCATGTTAGGCTTTTTTTTCTAGACTTCTAAAACTATTTGAGGAAAGTCAGGCTATCACTGGATGCTGTCCAACTTGAATATCACATTCATGTACGTTAACAGGAACAAAACCTCCACTCTGGGCAATCAGAACACATGTTATCTTGAAAATGGTACAAAAGGACAATGGATTCCACAGGAGGAATTCAGGGTATGCCAAATAAATTCTAAATCTTTCTCACAACATCTTCATAAGACCTCTCATGGCCTTGTCAAGTAGGGTTAATGTTTAACAGCTTTCTATTTTATCAGCACTTTGTGAGCTTTAAAATAAAATCCCTAATATGTCACAGACATTCCAGATATAACTTCACTGATGTTACAGGATTAGTTAAGGTCTGAACCAATGACTTGTTCATTCAAATTCAGTAATTTTAATCCATCTGGGCAAAATGTTCCTGAAGAACATTCGGAACAACACCCCCTTTCATGGGTCCTGTTCAGGCTGTGATTTTTCAGAAGACTACAGAAGCACAAACAAATAAGATTTAAACCTGAGAGGACTGACTGACATAAGCAAACCAATTTGACAGACAATACTTGTCACCTCAAAGAGTAACACTGACTGTAGCTGGTAAAAGAAGAAAATAAAAATGTGACTTCCCACCTCTAAGCTATAACAACTGCACTGCTTACAAAATGTGCTTTCGTTGGTAAAACATCTGCACAATTAAGACGTAATAATCATGTAATTACCAAAATAGCAGGTGATGTAAATGTATATGATGGAATTGTGTAGTCAACAAGAATGTGGTGCCATAACACATTATCCAGTATGGTTGAAAATGTTTATAAAACAAGCATGTAAAGTAGCTGAAGTATAAAATGAATGGTTAAAGGGCTGCCTTTTTCAGCCTTTCTTCAAGGGTGCTTTGTCACTAAACTGTGCTGTCCTATCAAGAATTATTACAGGTAAACTTGGTAAACAAGGCAACCTATTGAAACTTCTGATAGGAAGCAAATGTCCCCATTCTAAAAGTAGGTGATTTCTGTGAAAATAAGTATGACTACATGTGAATCTCAGAGTGCTTGACCAACAACTATTGAAATGAAAGTAATGCTTTGTTATGGGTTTCCTTTCAAGTTTTTTGACCACTTCTTCTATTTCTGTAAATCCCTCAATACTTAAAGTTTTGGGACCAGGATTTAAACTTTAAAACTTTATTCAAATTCAAACACCCACTCCCAGCTCTCTAGCTACTTCCTTCTAGTCCCACTTCATTCACAGAGAAGTAACCAAGTCAAAAAACCTCTACGTGACTGGAAGATACAGACACTGAGAGAGGTGTCCAGGAGTTTAACAAAGTGATCTGAAAAACACAATTCAAGGAAACGTCATTGAAAAACATCCTGCTGCCACATTTATTTATACTTATACCTGGGAGTTTTGTAGTTCCAATGTTTTCAATGAATCTCATTTCCCAGAGACAGTAGTGGGAGAGATCTCAAATGTTAGCCTGGCTCTAATCCATTCAGAGCCTGTCTAGGACAGACCAGGTTAGTGGCACTGCAGAACAGCTGGGGCAGGTCAGAAGTAGTGTGCTGCCTTTGAGAGGAGCCCTTCACAAACAGGTTTCAGGTTTTGTTAACATCTAAGGCTTCTCAAGCTTCAGTGTCCAGCTTTGGCTGAGGCACACTGCAGCAATCAGTCTTGGAGATTAGAGACGCACAGATATCACTTTTTCCCAAAGGGAAATGTTGTAAGCTTGTGGCCTTGAAGGGATGAATTAATCCAGCTATATTTCAGCCTGCATTTCCAGAAAACATTTCAGATATGATGGTAGGGTTGCTACAGAATCTTCTCCTTGGGGCCTATCCTCCACAGGCCAAGAATCACTATCCTAATAGAGTGGCAGATTCAAGCTGACAGCTGAAATAAACACAACAGAAAAGTAGTAGGAAAAAAATTAGTATACCTGTGAGCCATCTAGGGCTTGCAGTGACATGGCTTCATCACCCAGCCTCCAGTAGGAGCACACCTGCAGGTCTGAAATAGTTTCTAGCAAAGGGCTGTTTAGGGTCTCTGGCAACAACAAGCTTAAGAGCCCAGACAACAGACCAGTTGCTCCAAACACAATGTAAGGCAGAGACCACTGTACAGATTTCTGGAAAAAACAACAGAGTTAGGTTGAGATTGGCTCCTTGTAGTTCATGTTGCATATTAAAGGACCTAGCCCTTACAACTATTCCCTCTGGCAGTGTTTGTGTTCCTATTTAGCACAAAAGTCACCAGTCCTTCTAGTGTGGGTTTTTTCATTTGGTTGCTTGGGTTTTTTACCAATATTATCAATTGTATCTTGTCAATACTATTAGAACCCCTGCGCCTGCTGAATCTGAATTCAGTTCTTGCCTCTACCATACATACTTTTTAACAAATGCAACATCCCTTTGTAGTAAGGAATAGATACCCCAGAAACACAGACATGCTCCTTGGAGATCTCTTGAGATCACCTCGGCCAACCATGTACTCTAAGCACAATTATAGCCTCAATTAGCTCAGATCAATCACTACTTCACATAATCAAATATTGAAAATCTCCAAGGATGGAAATTTCCCCTCCAAGTAGATTGTTCCAAGCTGCATTAAACCTCTGAAAAACATTAATTTCCAAATTTCCTATCTAACCCCCAAGACAAAACTTGTGAAAAACATTCTAACAATGTGAGATAGTGTCAAAAGTTTTACAAAAGCCTTCCCTGCTCTCCTCCCTTTCCTCATCCATATTGCCTTCTGTGATGAAATGGCTGACTATCAAATCAAGTTGGCTGAGAAGGAATTGTCCTCAATAAATCCACGTTCACTGATCCAAATTACCTTTTTTTGCCTTCACATGCTTATAAACAGACTCTGGGAGGTCATGTCTCAATCCTCCTGAGTTAGAGGTACTCAGCCTGTAATACCTGGGTTCCACTTTCTGATACTGAAAACACACACAACAAATTAGCCTCTTTCCTCCTACAGCTACCAGGGATCCTTCACTACAACAGTGGTTTATCACCGGTGATGAACACTTGCTTCACTATCACAACCATTCTTAAGGAAGCTTGCCCCATGGAATGGAAAGCTTTCAGCTCTAAGTGTTCTTGAACCTATTGCTCCTCCTACTGTTTGCTGGTCTTCTGCTTCCTCAGCTGCACTGATAGGCAGAGTATCGGAGTCAAGCTTTCCCTCTCAAGACTGAAGCACAAGCATTTCAGCTTATTCCATGTCACCCACCAATGGGATGCCCATCCCATTCAACAGATATTTTCATTGAATTTCCTTTAGCTGACAGAATCCCTGTTTATGCTCCTAGCTAGTTTTAGCTTCAACTGAGCTTTGGCATTCATGTCATCACCTGTGACAGCGCAAGCAATATTTATACTCCTCCTCTGATGCTTGTCCCTGTTTTCGCAGTAAAGAAGGCTTATTTAAAAGAGGGAAAGAGTTTAGCTGTTTGTTTCAAAATCTCACATTGTAGAGAGCAATTCTAAATTGAGGAAAATAACAGGCTATGAATAAATAATTGACCAACATTTCATCTCTTATCTCAGCAGTTAACTTGTCCTATTTTTACTATTATGAGATCTCTAGACAAAAGACACTGAAAATGCATTAAAATACTGAAAGAAATTATGAAACACAAAAATAATTTATTATTTTCTCAAATCAGGGTTCATTTGTTATTTAATCAGAGCTACTTTCATTTTCATGGAAGCCCTTCAAACATTATGATCCAGGATTTGTGTCTCATGCAGTATCAAATCTCTGGCAGACACAATATAATGGATGCCCCAAGTGCTACATAAAAGCTGCCTGTTAAATCTACCTGGTAGATTGGCAGCAGTCTTGGCTTTGCCTGTTGTTCCCCAGAGGTGCTCATGCTCTCACCTGCCCAGTGCTTTGTTCTGCAGATTAAAAGGCTCCCTATGCTCACCTGCCCTTTTGCTAACTTTCTGCTTCACATGTGAAATGGCAAATGGCAGAGAGGAAAATTACCTGAGATGAAATCTGTCACATTAAAGGAATTGTCACTGGGCCTCCCAGCAAACAGCTGGGAAAAACTTTTTATCTGTATACAAATAACACTCTAAGTGCAGGAACCTAATGGTATCATCCCCATGATTTTTTGTTCAGAATCTTCCTTTGCCTTGCTGCTGGATCAGATCTCCACATCACCTTCATTTACTGAAAGATTATCTGCTTTGCTGATATTTATAACCCATGGATATTTAATGAAGTGCACTGACAGTAAAATTAATTTTTTCTCAAAAATGTAAGTTATTGAGCCCAGATGCTTAATTTTGATGCAGTAGTTCTTTTAACCACACAGGTCTTTTGCTATTGCTTGTGCAGGGTTTAAAATTTGGTATCACCATCTTGGCAGTCTGAAATTATTATATTTTAAGGTCCAGTAGTTAGGTCCCAAAATTCCTACAGAGCTGAAACACCTTCTACGTTAAATAATGCTGAGGTTTTGTCTAATCACACAGATGATACTGCAATGCCTTTAGCCTATCATGATAGTGTTAAAGGCAATTTATGTATCTTAATTTATATACAAAATTTATCCCAAACATTCCCATCTCTGTAAGCCTCTGATACACCAGAGCCACAAAACAAAAATATATGTAACAGAAGTTCAGACAAACCAATGAAGGGACAAAAGGCGCAATGATTCCACCAACACGGGAAAACATGGAGCAGGCACCCATTCCAACATTCCTATGAAGAAAACCAAAAATAATTAATCTTCTGAAAAGTGTTATTGAGAAGGAAAAAGACTCATCAGTCATGACCCTGAGCACATTAACTAGCAAAGAAAAGTCAAAGGTAACTGAAAGCTTCCCAAGACAGGAATGAAACATGTTTTTGTGATTAAAATGAAGCAAAAATCCCCTTTACATTCAGAATTTTTACATACACACATAGCCAAAACAAGTGTGATTCCAGTTCATGCATCTTGCCTCTGTCTGAAGCTCTGGACAAATTTATTTATTCAAATCCTACTTATCACCAGATTTACCCACTCATGAAAAACACCACAGTATAGTTTCACTGGTGGCTGACCATCATATGCACCCATTTGGTAAAAGCTTCTGTCTGCTCTGTCAGCACAAGCAGGGGGTACTTTTGCCCCTAGTGAGTGAAACCTTACTGCTGCTCACACACAGCCTCCAAAGCATCAAGCTGTTTTTACAAAGCTTATTGACCAATCATCTTCAATGCTCCTGGTTAAGCATGTATGATGATAAGAGTTGTCTGGTTTTATAAAGGACTCATTAAAAGAAATATTGGCAGTGCTACAGTTATCCTCATTAGCAGAAGGGGAGCTGTAAGCAGGCTAAGCAGCTAAAGGTCTGTTTTACTGTTACATAAAAATATGGTGAGTCAGAAGAGAACACTGCAAATTTGATGGAAGAGGGAGTGAGAAGGTGATAAGGGAAAAAATTTCAGAGGTAAAACTGTATCTAATCATTATATGTAACTGAAAAATTAAAATTAAAAACTACAGGTAATAGGAAAAAATAAGAGAAATAAAAGATGATCATGTAAGAGAAACAAAAAAATGACAACTTAAAATTACTTGTGTTACCTGATGACTGTGGGATAAAGTTCTGATGTGTAGATGTAGACAATGTTAAAAGCAGCACTGATTGTCAGTTTTCCCAGCAAAGACAGAGAGCGACTATTCACCACTGCAAACACTCCAGTATCTGTGAGAGAAGATATGACCCTTGTAAGGCTTTGGAGCACTCCAATACACCTCTAATCATTTCAATCACACAACAGTATGGTGTGAAAAGGAACCTAGAGAATCTAAAATCTAGAAAATCTAAGAATCTAAATTACGGTAGTATTTTTGGTCTACTACTAATTAAATACTAAATTAGTTCTATCAGAAAGTTGAAGAAGAGTATAACAGATACATTTTGCAAAAGTGAGCACATTTTTTCTTTTTTAACAAGAGTCCTATTCATTGTCATTTCTATAGTATGATAGTATTCTTCTAATATTATTACTTTGAAAGGAAGATGCTCTAAAGAATCATGCCAAATTTCCCATCCAGCTTGGTTTGTCAGAACAGCCAGTGCTTATTTGCTTTTAGCAGGCAAATCAGAGCTCATGCCCAGTGAACAGGTGCTTCCTTCTGGCCAGTGAGCCCTTTCACTTCCCAAGGCACTTCACCCTTGCCTGACTTGGGCAGCTCAGTACACAGCTTATTTCCTGGGGCCTTACAGTTCTGTCGTCTCTTTTCACATCTTATGTTTGGAATGATATGCAAAAAATACTTGATGACTGCTACCAGCCAAAGCAATATTTCTAAGTGTCCATGCTCTAGCACCTGGAATAATTCTGAAAACTTGAGTTGTACCCCTTTAAAAAAGCGTTACCTATTAGACCCACTGCCATCTAGAACAACTACTATACTCTGTCATACATGTTTAATTTCTTGAATCACTCTTCAAGTGTTTCAAACATTCTCTCACTTTATGAAAGGTAATATTACATCCACAGATCTTATGAGCAAGATGAATTTATATACCTGGTTTTAAAAAGAAAAATTTCTATGTAATCTGAAAATTAACATTAGTGCATCTTTACACAAAAGATGTTAAATTTCACATTCCATAAAGTCCCCCGAATTCAGAAGTTGGTCAGAACGTTCTCTGAGCTGTAAGTTATGTGGCCACATTGCTATTATCGCAACCACACTACTCTTGAACATTACAGAGCAGTGTGGGGAAGATATAAACTGCTCCATCACTCAGTTCTTCAGATCTTCTGACACTGATCTTCCACTTGGAGCAATACATCCAAGTTGCATGGGGTACTACTTACACTAACCTATCATCTAGCTATTGGAGATACCACAAGAAATATGATTCATTTAGATTATGTCAAAAACACCAGAAAAAGGAGCAGCTGATGTAAATAGAAGTAAAGGGCAGAATTCAAAGGCAAAACTTCAAATCCAAACCTTACTATCAAGTTTTCTCTAAGGTCTTAGGGAGATTACTGCTTTATCTTTTATTGAGTTGGCTTCTCTGGCTTTAAAAATGGAGACTCACATATGGTATGAGCCTAATCTTCCAGCAGCCATCGAATTGTTATGCTGTAGGATGCTGCTTTTACCAATTCTTACCACATACTCTAGAAACAAAAAAGTACTTACCTCTCTTCTTAGGCAGAAACATGACAATAAGACAAGACAATCCTCCCAGGAACAGAAATGCACTCAACGTTCGCTTCCGACCAAACCTGATATGCAAAGATAACAAAGGCTTACATTCTGCATTAGGTTTGTGGGTTGCAAAGTAATGAATCCTCTGAATTCACACTAACTCTTTCATTTGCAGTTGGGAATTCTGACTATCATCTTCCACCAACGCTTCCTCTCACACCGTTTTTAAACAAGCTTCTGCTGCACACTTAACAAAATGAGCGCCAACTTTACACAGCAGCTGACAATTTCTAGGATTTGGGGTTGCTTCCCACTGTGCGTGTGACATTTGTAAACCTCCTCAGGAGACACGGAGGAGAGACTGGAAGGAAATTCTACAAAAACTGAGAGACATTGTCCAAAGCACTGTGGTTCGGGAAAAGGCTGAATATCTGCTCTGCTCACACAGTAGCTGACACGGGTCCTGCCCGAGAGCACAGGACAGCCCCAGCAGAGTGGAGTCAGGATAGCTCTGTCCCAGCAGCGAGGATGGGATCCCGGAGCAGCGGGGGGGGGAAGGTCGCTATCTAGTGTTAGCCTGGAGGCAGTGCAGGTTCACGAGCTACATCATCCCCACCTAAACCAGAGGGCTACTGAAAACAAGTTAAACTGCTGTTTGAAACAGGGATAAATCAATGGCACTTTCACATTGAAACGGGAAGCCCCACGCATCAGATACAAGCTAGGAGATATGATACACAGAAAATCTATCTTTAAGAAAAGTTATAAAGAAATCCTGGATGGGTTCATAAATTCCATACTTGCCATTTCTGGTTAATCAAGTAAATACAGACTGGGTATGCTGGGATTTCTATCAAGCCTGACAGCGCTAAATTGGCATAAATACTTCCACCTAAGTCACCCACATTAAGGGTGAGACCATAGTAAACCAAGCTGCACACAAACCTGCAAAAGACAGGAGAAAAAAAAAGTTAAATCAGAGCTGACACTTTGCCTGCTGAATCCAAGTACTGGTCTGGCACAATACACTATAAACTATATTTAGTGTTTCAGCACATAGGTCTAAAATGTTTCTCTGTAAGCGTATGTTGCCTTCTAGGCAAATAAACCATTTTGTCTCAGCAAAGACCCAATTCCTGACTTACTACTAAGTAAAACTTAAGACTACACTTATGAACAATGTGCATAAACCAGTATAAAGTTAAAATACAATCATGGCAATATTATTTAACTTCAGAAATGTCTTTGTCCCTTTTGTTTTTATCAGGTTACACTTTCATCCACAGTTTTTCCAACTATGTGTAAACCAGATTTCTCAAGCAGTTCAAACAACAACACTTCAACCTTCTTTTAATTTCTACACCCTGGTCCAGTTCTATTCATTCCTTCTCCAACTCTGTTAACTTTTCCTTTGTAACCCTACTGTCGTGTTAACCCCTGTAAATGGAGTTGTCTTTACAGAGAGTAAAGAAACTGGTCACTAATTCATCCTGCAGCAAATCAGCAATTCTCATTTAATGAACAGATCAACTATTTATTCTGCAGTAAGCACTTGGAAAAGAAACAAGAAAACAGCTCAGTGCTGAATGCTGACAAAACCATTTGTTTTATTCTTAATTGATACATCTTTCCCAAATAAAAAAAACCACGCACTTTTGGAGTTAAATTTCTGCTCGTGACTAGAGGGAGCATCATGGGTATCTGCTCCTCACTACAGCAACAGCCAGCACTTTTTCTTAAGAACTGTTGCCTAGGATGTCTACTCATTAGACAAGGTAGGCAACCCACCTGCTAATGGGCTCCTTACACAAAACAAGGAATAATCCATGTGAAGAGATACTGACAGCTCTGGGCCTAAGAGGAGGACACTGTGACTAATCTCAGCAGCCTTGTGGGTCAGAACAGAAGGGGTAGTTCTCAGCTATTTTGAGACTCAAAACACAAGACAGAAATGCAGAGATAAAACACCTCAGAACTGGACTGTATAAATGGCTTTGTGCTAGAAATGCTCTATGGAAATACTGTAATAGATACTGAAATACTAGAAAGGATCCTTTTTAGGTACAGTGTCCCTAACAATCTGTAGGACAAGGCAATTCCCAGCACCATATTCTCTCAAAGACTTAAAGAGGTCGCAGTAGCACAGCTGAGCCTACAAAGTATTTCCAGTACCAGGTGAACATCATGATCAAGGTGCGTCCCAGGAGAATCCTGTATCGGAACAGGTCCAGAAAGCTGCCAGCCTCTCTGGAGCTCCTCTCTGCTGGGAGTTTTAATGAAAAAGTGCATTTCTGCTTGCGGTTCCTCTTTGCAATGAGGTAGAGGGCATCTTCTGCCTCGTTCAGACGGCCCTGGGAATAGAGCCAGCGTGGGGACTCAGGAATGAATCTGAAACACACACACACAGACACCTTTAGGGATTTTCTTCTCTATGATGATGGACCTGTCTAAAGGAATAAGGCTGAAATGCACTTCAGTAAAATAAAGACTTTTCAAACAACCCTTCAGGTATAAAATTTACTTACTGAAACAGAAACAAAGACTGTTGAAAGGAAACATAAGCCCTACATAATTTAGACAGCAAGAAATTACACTGAGTGTAGACATATATACACACATAGAAAGAACAACATTATAAGTTACAGTATGACAGATCCTATCTTTGGAGAATTCAGAATTAAGGAGGCACACATTACTATAAGTAACACAGGATGCTTCTGTAAGACCCTCTAGTTCAATTTCTCATTTTCCACAAGACCAACTTCTGCTTCCCATTTTTGAGCTTTTTTTGCCAAATTCTCTCCTGTAGACAAGAAGGTAGAAACTATGCAAAAGTCATGCATGTGCACTGTTCACTTGACAGGTCTGTAACCCAAACACTGTCTACTAGACAAATCTTCTATTATTTTCAGGATTCCAGAACTAATTTAAACTTTAGCCTTTTGCCAGCAGCTTTTTAAGACTTTTGCCTCGGACCAAAAATTATATTTTTCCTCTAAGTTTGAAATAACGTGATTCTGTGTATTCACCAAAAAAAGGAGCTTAGAAAGTAACATATTTTCTTCCCCAGGATAAAAAAAATTGATAGTATTTTCTACACTGAGTAATTTTTAAGCAATGTGGCAGGGAGGCAATGTGAAATTTGGAATTAAAAAACTCCTTTTATTACAGGAATGATAGACTTCTGAGCACAGCTCTGAAGTCACAAGCATAACTCCCTTAAAAAAGTTGCACCTATCAATGTAAAAGTTAATTTTTATTTCCCAAGGGTCCCTATCACCACAAGGTTTTGAAATATCTGAAGTGTCATCTCTGCCTTTCACCTTATGAACAGCCTCAAATACCCTCCCCTGAGTTCTGATGCTTCCTTTGAAAGGGTGTGTGGATTTTCTCAGGAGCAAAAGCTTTATTCAAAGAGTTACTGAAGTGAAATAGATGTTGGAAAGGAAAAGCACTCTAGTTTAAACAGCAGCTAATTTTGCTCTTTTAGTAACTGAGATTTGGATGTCAGAAAGCATGTATGAGAAGAGGACCACACTGCATCAGAGCTTTCAGTGCTGAAATGCACAAAGCCCCTACTATCTCCAAAAAGATCACATTAGAAAAACTTGAGGGAGCTGCCCATTTTTTTTTTGGACATCACTTTTAAGACTGAACAGGCAAGCAATTGTGATACTGTTCCTTCTGTGTAAACACAAGAAAAGCATCATGTTATCAGATAAATATGAAACCATTCTCGCATCTTTTAACGTGGATTTAGAGTGCCTCATAGCACACCAGTTTAAGTCAGCTAAAGAACAGGATGTGCTTCTCTATCATCCTAGAGACTGTTCCCACCTACAGTAATACTGCACACAGTACAATGTAGATTTTTACAGGCTCAAATCTTGCAGCACTATTAGAAGAAACCACAGAGCGTGTGGTGGGGAGGAGGTGTACAAGTTGAGAAATACCTTATTTACACCATTTCATGCCATCCTAGAAAGGTTACTTGACTTAGGAGTTTGGGTACTTGGTTTAATTTTTTGTTTGTTTTTTTTTTAAAACATCTTTCTTTATGAAACTTGGTTTGAAAAACAACTTACAGAGAGAGGAGAAAGACGACTGTTCCTTCCAGATTAACCACAACAGCCAGAGTCCTCCAGGAACGAATGAAATACCCTAATAAAGCATATTGGGCAATTCCAACAGCAAAGAACAAGCCACCAATAGAACCTAAAATACAATTAAAAACAAAACATTATCACTTCTGTAAGAAACATTAGCAGATCTCAGCAAATAGGATCAGACAAGAACTAACTTTTCATTAGCAAAAATTCATTCAGCAATTTAGGCAGAACCACAGCTCTTTGACCAAAGAACACCCTGTCCTTTATTCATGCAGAGCAGAAGTATTACATCTAATTACAAAGATCAAAAAAGCCCCAAAAGTGCTCTTCTACATCCTCCACACCCAACAAAGCCCTGTGAACAATGAAGTCTTCTAATTCCAAATTAAGTACGTGCATGTATGCAGCATAAGTATGCACCTTTCTATGTTTAAAAAGAAATACTTCAAAACATTGAAAAACTGGTAGTTTTAGGAATATGTAGTGTTCATTTGTAGCTCCCATGATTTGTAAGACACCCTATTTTGAAACAGTCTCAGCATAGCACTTCTTGGGCTTTGTAGGTCAGGCCCCGGAGCTGTAGCAGTATGGGTTACACACATTTCTGAAGGACAGCTCTAGTAAAGGGTGTCTGTACCTTCTAAATTCTAAGGATAATTACTACATGGGACAACTTTTTTTAATAACATATAAGCAACAGTTTTCTCATCTTCCTATGATATAAAAACACTTCTGATTTCTTTTTAAGAACCGCCAGGAAGGAAAGAATTTATATTTAGCACATGAACATTTGGCTCTTTTTAGCAGAGTCCAACATTCTGATTAATAGAGTTCAGTTGTGGCAAACCTTGGATAAGTATTTAGCTGGTAACATTCATGGAAGATGTTTCAGCTGGATCTTTGTCAACTTGAGTGATGCAGAGATCTGAATGGCCTCAAGTTATCTACCCTGCTTGTCCAAGGTTGATGAAAAACAAGCAGAGTTCAAAGACTGTGATCACAGATATGCTCAAGTGGAGCTAAATCTGCAACTGCTTTGTGTGCCTCAAGTGATGTGTGAGATTGAAACCTATGAATTCTGACAATAAAGGCAGTTTACCTGCTAATGCCCAGTAGGCTGTACCCACACACTCATTCAGCAGAACAAAGGCTACCAGTGACATCCCGCCATTCATCATCCCTACCAAGAATCTGGAAATGGCAAAGAATTCATACGAGGGTGAGAATCCGTTTGCAATGGCAAACACAATGTCAAGAGCAAAACCTGGAAAATAAGGCAAAAAGTTTCATTTTAGAAGGGTATCTAAAGAAACAGAAGCATTTACTGGTATCTTAATGCCCACTGGCATCTGTCCTAAGCCATCACAGTCAACACCACCACCACAGGTTTGGAAAGAAATTTAAATACCTAGAGTCAATATCAAAGAGGACAGGACACCAAAGGAGTGGTTTTTTGATACATACTTTGCAGTTTGAACCTTTAAATTCAGTTCAAATTCAATTCAATTGCAGACATCTTTTTAAGACACTCAGAACCATTGTCTGACTCCTGTTAAAGACAGCTTTATGTTTATCCCTGATAAAGAAGCCACAGGTTAAATATATGACCAAGTATCTCTCCTCATTTTTGGAGAGCAGTGTATGGAAACCAGAGAAGAGTAACATTGCCAGGAGACAATAAACGGTGGGTCTGCATGCAGAGCAGGCCCACCTTTATGTGCTTTGAACTAGTGCTGTCCCTTAAAAGGAAAACAAAAAGGATAAAACATTTATTTTAACTCTGCATGCTCATCCATTGACACACAACTTTATGCATACACAAAACATGCAGTTTCAAATGTTGTTTGATCCAGGGACAGTTAGAAAGCTTATGAGCTTGAAAACTGTACAAGGATCATAAATACATAAAAATTAAATCATGCAGACAGGTGATAAAAGGTGCATCAAATTCCTAACAGGTTATACAGGTAAGAATGCTGTTACAAAACTACTAAAAATACTAACTGCAACTTGCAGAGATCCCATGAGCACAGCGTTGCACAAGTGAAAGCCTTTATGGCATGACTCACAAACCCAGAACACCTCTCAGAAATTCAAATGGTGACTGAACAGTGAAATATTAATTTCTTGTCTCAACTTCTACCGCACAAGTGTATTGGAATGCCAAAACAAAACCACAGCACATGATTTACAGCTGCACAACAAGCTCTCAGCAGAAACTGGGCCATTGCCACTGATCTTCAGGGACACGACACCTTTGTGTCATTCATTTTGTCGAGGGGTTACCTGTGAGATAGACTTTTTTCCTCCCAAAGCGATCAGACAGCTGGCCAAAGGAGATGGCTCCAACAAACACACCACTGAAGTAGAAAGAACTGGCAGCACTGACTTTGTACGATGCATTGCCAATTAAAAACCACTGGATGGAGGAGGAAGAAAAAAACAGAAACAATAAACCAGCAAAAAGGCAAATTAATCAGAATCCAAAGAGGTCACCAACACCTAATAGCTGAAGGGGATATTACATATTTTAAAGATCAAAATCTTTATATAAAATCTCCTAAGCATCATATTCAGTAAATCACGGGTCCTCACTGCTATCTCCTGAACTCACTGCAGGATACTAACAATGGCAGTTCTCTCAAATCAAATGCAGTCTTTGATTCTGAAATCAAGAACGTATTTCCCACAATACTCATATTTTTGCAGCTTTCTCCCACTTTCCCTTTTTCTGCCTTCTTTCACATAAAGCTATTAACCTAAGTAGACTCAGTTCTACCTACTGACATGTCACTGCAGTATGTAGAACACACATTGTGAAAAAATAGTTGCTTTATAGATTTATGTCTGAAGATACTCCTGCACATGTTCCTCTTTTTAAATTGTCTTATCCCTGAGCAATACTTTGGTAGCATTAGACAGGTTAGTCAGGTTTTCTGCACATACTCGCCTTCTTTACAGTGTATTTCATCATTTCCAGTTCTTTTCAATTCCAAATACAAAGCTGATCTTGAAATGTCTGGTTCTTACAGACTTAATGTCTCGAGTTGAACCTGACAAAATTCCTTGCCCCACAGAAGTGCAGAATGAAAATATGCCACGCTCTCAGTGTTCTAAAGTCATTTCCTATTGTATTCTAAACACTCCACATCTTCTGTTCTTTTATTTTTCTATTCCTCTTGTACCTCGAGATAATGTTTCCTTTTAGTGACAACCAACTCTTCTTCCTCTGCTGGTAAGTTGGTGATTATGTCATTATCCCTGCAATAGCTCTCTAATCTTCTCCTCATAATCTTCTCTTTCTCTACCAAAATCTCATTAAATATCCTTTCTAGCAAAGCTTATATTATTTCACAGCTCAGTTATAAACTACCTCATCATGAGAGCAGAGCCATGCAATTAAACCTCACAAAGATTAGGATGCTAACAAAACATCATTCATAAGCTCCAAGAAAATAACTTGCTTACTTTCTATATCTGCTTCATTTTGAATTGTTACTTTAACAGGGAGGTGGTTACTGATAATAGTAGGAAATGTGCCCATAAAGTGCCAAGACTGACAAAAACTGAAACAAACCACACAACCATAAATCAGCTTTTGAAGCTTCTGGAGAATTTAAAAACAATTCCCAGAAAAATACATTTGTAAAATAATTGCATATGAGATTAATTTTTCCCTGAAATAACATGGTCAGTTTGTTTTATAACAGCTAAAAGAATAATGCCCTAACTTTTGGTATAAAAATTAAAAAAGCTGCCAACATTAAAACTGTTGACATGAGATGCTTTCTGAATCATTCAGGGATTAAGGGATGATTTGGCTGCAAAGCAAAATTTGTTCTCAAAATTTATCTCAACATCCAAGCTCTTTAGAGAGCTCAAGGCTTTTCTCCTCTAGATAAAAACATGCTACATATATGCTTATTCACTAATCCAGCTTTTTACATCAGAATATTTTTCAGTGTAAATTTGTAATGCTTATGTTATCAGTGATGCCACCAGGTTAAGTATTGACACACCCTCTTTAAATGTAGGTAACAACTTCTTTACAACCAAACATGAAATTAGATTAATAATGAATTAGTGGTGAAATATTCTCCAGATATGTATGTTCTCTCTCAAAATGTTTATGCTTAGCACATAGCCTCCAAATATGCCAAATATTCAGCTAACAAAATCATAGAAACTGTATTTTATTAGAGGGAAAGAGAAGAGATAATAAGATTTTATTCAAATGGGACTCTACTGAAACATATGCTAAAGAATTAGAAAGCAGAATCTATACAAGTTGCCTTGCGGTTGGGGTTTTTTGTTTGTTTTGCTTGGGGAGTTTTTTTAGGGTTTTTTAATTGCCCAGGCAGGCTTTGTTCTTTACCTGCATTTCTTATTTATGCAACCAAAATGCATAAAGATCTGTACAAAATCGATGTCATATGCTAGGTTCTACAAGCATGTCTGACTTGTCAAGTTTAAGAGGGTAAAAGATACTTCGGTAAGTCAAAAAAAAAAAAAAAAAAAAAAAAAAAAAAAAAAAGAAAGAAAAGAAAAACCACAGAGAAAATTCAAAAACCTTACTGAGTTTTAAATAACGCTTAAGAAACCCATCATCCATTAAAATTTTAATTTAAATGGTATTATAAGTACTCATATCCTCTTCATTGCCAGAATAAGGAGCAATGCCTTTTGTACACAATGGCTTGGTACTATTCCAAAGCTGGTCATTTTTATTAATATGTTCCTAACCAATAAACTGCTTTACAGGAGTAATGTGGATAGCATTAATACCTCTGGACAATAGCCACAAACTATCAAGTGGTACTACATTTGACTCCACAGCTCAGCTCTGCATTCAGGCCTTGTAACCAATGCACTCAGGGCTCTTGTAAAGAACAATTTGACATTAACAGATACTGACAGACCCAGGAAGGGCAGGTGTTGCACACATCAATGCAAAGTCTGGAATCATTCCTATAGGGATTGTGGCTAGACTATGAAAGAAATCACTTGAAAAACACAGAGGACGTGCCAACAAAGCCAAAGTTTGTTTTGGAATAGGAAGTGAGGGAGCCGCTTTGTCCACCTGACTCCCCAGTGACCAAGTTCTTGTTCTGGAGTTGCAAAGAGTGCAGGAGCCACTTCCTCTCCAGTTCCTCCAGTGCCTTCTAACTGCCTGATGGATGCACTACATGCACTGGAGCTCAGCAAGGAGATGGCCAGAAAGACCTCAGAGTCCATAAAAGGGTTTTGAGCAAATTAGTAAAATGAATGTTGTGATTCCAGCTCAAATGTGGAACCAGGCTGCAGGATGCAATATGTAACCTTCACACAGAAAAGGTGGGAAGTTTTGGAGAAGAACATTGGTCAAGATCTGCATAGCAATATAAAGCTAGTTTTTGTTGGCAGTGAAGACATGAGCACATTACCTGTGCTCTAACTGGAGGAAGCATGTTTCATTTGCTACTCAAAACATGCATTAGTTATGCAAGAAAAAAGCAGTACAAGGAGACCCCCAAACCACCTCAGTAAGTTTTACTAGTCACACACAAGGCTGCAGAACACATTTCAGACTTACCTCAGAGACTATGGATGTGAAGCTGTTGCCGAAGTGTACGTGCTTACGCACCTCACTGCCATTGGCAGTCAGAAGCCATTCCCCAAAAGCCCTCTGCTCGCTCTCTGAATGGTTGCCATGGCTCTGATTAGCTGAGAGCCCTTGGAGATCCCAGTGGTAGGGAGGAGTTGCACCCACCAATGCGATGAGGATGGCTTCAGTGGCCACATAAAGCTGGCATGAAAGACAAAAATCATCAGAGATGCTCAGCTTGAATTCAAGCAGTATCTCCTCCACAGCCAGATCAAATCAGTATTAAAAATATTCCTATTTTTATATTTGCCTTCTACCACTATGAGATGTCATGTATAGCCCCTGTCTACCAAACAGCACACACTGAAGAACCACAGCTTTAACAAAGTGGCTCTTGCACTTCTTATGTGCTGGATATTTGAGAGAAAGGAAGTTCCCCTCCTGACACCTTTCCCTCAGTCAAATAACACAAACTCCCACCCATAGCAGGTAGAGATCATGGATGAAGGAAGAGTTATTAAACATACTAAGGAAGAGAAAAATCCCTATTATTTAATGAAAGTATAGTACTCTTATATCCTCTCCTTCCACCTTTGTTGATGTTCACTCCTCCAATTTGGTATTTGGACTAGATCGTTTCCTCATGGTTTCATACATAATCTTTCCCAGTTCTGACAAAATTAATTCTTTGCTGGCTTTCTACCTTCTGTGGACCTGTTTTACTCTCAGAAGAGACAGAGACAACAATGTGAACACACACATGCATTTTTCATATACCTACATATTTACAGATACACACAAGGTCTAAATAGTGATCAACAGCTGCTTTTGTTCATGAAAGAATAAATAAAAATGCTGGAAACCCAGACATTTCAAGCCTGGTCCAGTGCTGGGTTGCTGCTGCTTGCTCAGAAACGCACTCATAGGTCACATTACAACTACAGTTTAAAACCCTGTGGTTTGAGACCTGTTTGAACATAGAAGTGGCACAAATTCTGCAAGAGAAGATAGATCATAAAGTCTTCAGAGAGACAAAAGGCACTGCTAGTAACAACCCCACACACTCTCCAAATAAAACTGCTTCATCTCAAGCTGTCACTTAGGAACTGTAACGCAACACAGTGGTTCCTGACAAAACAAACCAACCCCTTCCTCCATAAAAAGCCCTCATTCATACCTCTCCATTCTTCAAACCCTACTTAGGTACCTCCTGAACCTTGCTCTGCTCCCAGCATCTCGTCCCCATGTTCTCAGGAAGAACGTACCCACAGGAAGTGCGTTCTCTTGGAAGGCTGCTTCACAAATAATTTGCAGAAGTGGGAGACCCATAGGTACAAAAAACAGCCTGAGGAGCTCTGAATTCTGATGCAAGCAACACCAGATAATACTGCTCTGGTCTGTACAACAGCTGAGAAGCTGGATTTACACCCAGATTTAAATGAGAATTATTACTAAACTAAAACAGAGCCCCAAGTTATTACCTGAAAGCAATTTTTCCCATCAGTTCCTCTTTGTATTCTACATGATAAACTGCTACTTTAGTGGCAGGAGGTAGATAAACTTTTTTACAATAATTCTTTCTGTTTTCCATTAAAGTTATCAAATATCAGAAGAAATCTGGAAAAATACAGGTAACTGTTATCATTTAAGCTAAAGAACAACTTCTGGATTGACAGCGATGAAAAGTAAAAGAACTCATCTGGGAAAGAGGGCAATGACTAAGATCACATTGGAAAAGAGGTTTTAAAAAGCTGAGTGGCCATGTTGCTAGGGATGTGTGGATACAGTACTCTCAAGAACAGCTTGAAATTACTGAGAAATGAGAATTACAGGTCATGATGTGTAGTGCATCCCTCTACTCTGACTCACTTAGAGAACTGTGTGTCAGGACTAAGTGATAATATCCATGCTTTTGTCTTGTGAAATAATAAACATATTTTTGAAGTAGATCAAGAAACAAAATCCTCAAGGTATTTGATTTCAAGAAGGAAAACATAACACCTTTCATTTTTGCATTAGGTGAAAACAGATACAGAAAACTGAATAGAAAAATAAGCAATTGCAGGCACACAGAGAAACACTACAGGGTTTTTTCAATAAAAAAACCCCAACAATCAGCCTTTAGAATCCTAGTAGGTGCAGCAACCAAGGATACACAAAGCTAGAAACACTTTCAATTGATTTGTGAAATCAGCAAACCATATTAAGATGGAGATGTGTTTTGATATTAAATAGTATTATTGATATCAAATAGTATTTTTCTATAGTCAAGTTCACTGAGTCACTGCTGACACAAAACTCTCTTTCCTAGCGAGCACCTGCTTTGTATTTTGGGAAAGAGGTACAGTAAGCCCTATTAATTTCATTGTGGAAGCAAAACAAAGCCCACAAAGCACCCCTCAAAATTCATTGACAATGCTGTAGGTCAGAAACATTTTCTAGAAGTGATTTTAAAGACATGATGAAGGGAACTCTAGACTTAATTACAAAATAAAGTTTTCATTTAAGTAAGAGTTGTGTTAATGAATCTGAAGGTTCCTCCCTTAAGAGTTCAAAATGCTTGCACTTAACGGTAACACAGTTGCACAGACTGGTGAACAACATAAAACAGTAACAAATCAAATAGAAATATTATATAACTACTGTACATAATGGCCACATTACATGCACTGTGGCAAATAAACCCCTTCATTTTTCATTTGTTCTATAACCTAAGTCAAGTCAAATATATGCCATTTAGTGTATAGTCCCTGTTCATAAAACATTTCAATTGACTCTATATGGATGTTAACAGCTCCCTACCAAATTCCCTGCACTGATCTGTATTAATAAAGATGAATACCAAACACAGAGGGACAAGGCACCAACTCCCAGTCACTGACGATGAGATGCTTAGCATTCTGTTAGTTGAGGTTTCTCCTGTTTATTAATATTCTCTTCAGGTTAAAATTTTATAGTCTGCCTAAATTAGAAGACTGTGGTGTAAGGGAATTTATTAAAAGGCAATGCCCTAATAGCCTGTAAACTTTCACGTTCCCTGCTAAGTAGAAGGGATTTTAGTTAGCCAGTTAAAGCTATTTCACTAACAGATATTGAAATTAACTTGAAATTAATATTAATAGAAATGCCATGTCTTGACCAGCTTTTCAGATGTTGCTTTTTGTAATAAATTACATTCAAGAAAGACATAGAATCTCTAATAACACTAGCAGGGAAGGGGGAGAATGAATTTAAAGTTTCATCAGTGTATAGTGAAAATGAACACAAGAATAATTTAAGAAACTCTTTTAGACTTCATAATTTACCATTATGAAGTACAAATGAAAAAACAAAAGCAAGACTTCAATTCTGGGAAGAGGAGCTTTCAACCTTTTTTAGTCAGCTCATCAGCAATTCCCAACTAGCCTCGTCATTCTAGACAAGTATCATCTGAAGCACTCATTGCAGAACAAAATAATGAGTAAGACAGTAACTTCTGACCTTTTGAATACAGAAACATTAAAACTGCACCCTGAGGAAAGACAGAAATTAAGGAAGTACAATGAATGACCTTGCTCTAGTAGAAGCTTTTGATAAAGAGATGATTACAGTTCAGGATTAGAGTAATTTCTTCTGAACCCATGACAAGGAGCTGAAAAGCTGGAGGGCAACCTAATTTTTGAAAATCTGATGATGTCATCTGCTCCAAGTCATCTCCAAAGGATGATTTGGCTTTAAATTCACATTGTTTTTTCTCCACAATAACTCCTATGTAGAAAAGCCCTACAGCATCTTCTTGGTGCAAAATTATTATTTGCTGCTGACAACACATTCCTCTATGAAAGCATCCTTCCCTTCCTGGTGGCACGGTAAGAGGGAGAACACAGTGAGACAAACGGAAAAGCTGTCACAGTTAAAGCAAAGAATCACCATGTGCAGAAGAACATGGCATCTCAGTCACTCACCAAGCCCAGGCCCATTCTGACAGGAAATACTTCCCACGCAGAATGTAACCATTGTTGGTTATTACCTGTGACTTATCAACAACAGAGTGAACACATATTTTGAAAGAACTTAGGGTTTCTGCAGAGAAACAGAGAAAACCTACACAGTTGAGAGTTTTTAGGCCTGAAACCGCTGGCCTCCAGAATTCACAGCAGGAAGTCCAGTCTGTCTTACATAACTTCATTCTGGAAATTCTTTAACATCTACAATGAAGACAAATACTGCATAGCAAAGCCTCACCTCCTACATTGTGGAAAATGCCCCTCTAGCTTCCCCCTCCTGTTCCAAATACCCAAACACACGTCTCAGCTCTGTTTCATGCTCAGCTTTATTTTGGTGGGAAGTGGAGCAGCAGGGGTTTGTTGCTCCCACTCAGCCTGGCTGCCCATGAGTCAGGTGACTGCTGCCATCCACAGACATGGGTTGCTTTACTCTTCATGGGCAAGCACTGGTGTCTGAAGAGCAAAAACCTTCCCTGGATGAGCTTTCTGCAAAATCCTTCCAAGTGACTCCTGTGTACACACCTCTGTCTGACAGGGCCACGGGAACACAGCACCCTCAGTCACATCACAGGTTGACCGGTCTCTGAACATGAATAATGAAGTGTTATTTTTCTGCTTTTAAAAACACAAGGCAAAAAGAAAGCTCACAGACTGATGAGTTAAAGCACCAAGGCAATATACATGGACCAAAATTACAAAAAGCACTATTAATACTACCTCTGCTTTAATAGGAATATTCAAGGAAGTCAGACCAGATTAATGTGCAATCAAGTGCCACAACTCCTCAGTCAAGCTATGCAGTTTCACCAATATCACATCAAAAGCACCACTCCTCTCTTCTTATGAGGAAAAGGACTTAGAAAAGAATAAAGCAAAGAAGTGCTGTAAGTTCCTATTCCAGTTTATGAATACAATGCAAAGCAGCCCAGGAGTGGACCATTCCAATAGTAGGTAACATGAAAAAATGTCAGCAACTGCTGGCAAAAAAAAGCAGGAACTGTGGGCTGACAGGTATCAGGCAGGGTTTAGTCCTGCTTCCACAATCATGATTACTCTTTTGTCTGTGTTTCATGTCTGCCCTTGTTTCTCTCTGTACTTTCTGGCCTGTGTTGGCTATAAACCTATCTGAGTCACAGGCAGTATTTTAAGAGATCAAAGTCTTTGCATGACGTTTTGGGACACTGCCAAGGAATATTGGGTGAGCATCTTGGTCTC